GTGGGGGGGGGGCTAATATTTTTTAAAGCTAACTGGTAGCACCACTATTGTGCTCAAATGCTTATAATCTTGTTAGGAAATCCACGCTTGAGAAGGTTAGGCCTGTATTTCTTGTTGCTGAGTATTGCATATCAAGTCAAGAAACTAACATCTGCTTTGAAGCTTCCAGAATTTTTTTTTAGATGGAACAGCTAAATATATTACGATATTTACTTTCCAGGTATAATATTAACACCCGTTAATTGTTTGTAGCCTTTACTCTACTGGTATATACGCTGTATTTTGTACCCGCATCTACCAAAGAATTACGTGAACAATGCAATTATTTTTATCTGCATTATAGAAACGGTTTCTGTTCAACTCAGTATGTTGATATACGAGTCTTGATAGCTTTGACGTGAATTGATTCAGTCCGTTTTTTTTAAGCAAAATATGGAGTGATAGCTAGACTGCGTACTCGTGTAAAAAAAAAAGATTTTTTGGGGGGGACATACTCCGGTACCCCGGCGCACTGTACCGAAGAAAATGTATTATGTGGTGTTTTGCTTAAAAGACCAGTCGAATATGACATCAGTCGTTATCTTGAAAATTTATTATTCTTCCCTGTTTTCACTTCTATAAGCAATGTAGAAGAATTGTTATTTAAAGCGATGATCGAACGATACTTTGGAGGACGGCTTTTGGAAAGTGCGCATGCGCGAAGTGCAGATATTCTTTTTCGCCCTAAAAGATTGATTAATAACCCTGTCTCTATATCACACCCCCGAAATGAATTACTAGCTAATAACCACTCAGTACGATTAAGAGATGAAGCTATGAGAGTTGAAACAATTCATCTGAAAGAATGACGTTGTTAATCATGTTCTTAATTCCCTGAAATTGGCGTTCATTGAATCTCCGCGGCGCGTGTGTTTGATACTTCGAAAAACACAAATTAATTTAATTGTGAGGAATTGACTTTTGGTCGGCAAGAGATGTACTTCGCAATGGATTGCTACATGGGGCTCTTCTGGGGTCTGAATAAAGCACCCTAGCTGCGTTTCTTCAATAATTCTATCAACTTTTCAGAAATAAAATTGTGACGGAGCGTTTTTTTTTTTTTGTTTTTTTTTTTGTTTTTTTGTTTTTTTTTTTTAATTTAATCTTGAATGATAATCAGAGTGCCTATCATTTGTCCATTTGCCGAATTTCCCAAATTTCACAAAACTTTGTATTGAGATATTTTAATCACAGAAGAGCACACGGAAATGCACTGTTGGCTTCTGTTTTTCTCTATTATTAAATGCGTTAACATTGTGTCATTGCTACAACATTGTCGCAAATATTATGGATCCCTCATAAGTTGACTTGGTTGAAAATGAAAAAGTACAACAACACTCTTTAAGAACCATTGACAAATTTGACACTTTCTTTCGGGTGGGGTTGTGATGGGTTTCAAAACAATCCAGATCAATCTTTGAAAATGAATATCCCGTCTCCCTTTCGGGCCTCTGACCAATTCTCCCGGGGATGTCTCGGGTGAGGCAGAATTGCCAGCAATTGCAGATATTGCTCTTATGTATTGATGAAATGTGATTAAAGCTCTTAAGTGATGATAAAATAGCAAAAGATGTGCTTCGTAGCACTATTCTATGCTAATTTAATTTCTTCTTTCGCTTCAGGAGCCGGGGATAATTGGCTAGCACAGTGAATAGAATGATTAGAATATGTTTTATCTTCTTCCGGTGTTCAATTAATGTCGGGATCAAGCGTTTTTTCTTTGGTAAAGATGTAGTGTTATAGCTGATCTACATAGTGATGGATTTGACAAATGTTTTAAGTGTCTAAAGAAGACGAATCACACACGAAGAGCACCTCGGAATCGGCATGGGTATCTCGAAGGACTTGGCTTATCGTCGCGTTTACTTATTCGAAAAGACTTTCCCTCCTGAAAATAGTTCAGAAGTAAAAATTGTGGTCAGTAATCCATTGTATCCACGAATAGATTTACTATTAAAGTTTAGCTCTTATGAAACTTGGTGAGCTTTCTACAAACCAATCCTTCAGTTTTTCATTTCTTTCTATTCTTTCTCAGTTTTAATCAGCGCATTACTGTGCAATAATACCTGATCGGCAGAATATCTAAAACAGTAAATATAGATAAACTTAGTGCAATTTATTATTTTTTGGAAATGTGAGTTGCACACCTGGATTGACAAGCTCTTGAAACACATGTTTGTGAGCATCATGCCCCCCCCCCCCCCTCGAGTGGGCCACTGTGGGCTACAGTTACAAGTGATAAATAATTTATTTTAAAGAAATTGGAGGGGCGGTTTGACTGTGTTGTGTGTGTGTAGGGGGGGGGGGGTGTCTGGGGGCGCTACATGTAGTTTAAACCTATTAGGTCACTTTAAATATACTGTGTGCAATAGACCAATTCCACCTTGGGTCAACTAAGCATGAGCCCAGCAATGTCAAGAGCGTTTTCTGAAGAATAAAAATGGACCTTTTATTACTTCTATAGATGGACCAACTTGAGAAATAACGTACATGTCCACCTTTGATCAACTTTTGCTTCAGAGCGGAGTTCTTTCTGACCAAAAAGGACGATTCTATCGAGTCCACCGAACGCCCCTCTTCGTTGCCTATGAGTCTGTCCACTCTCAGAGACCCCCCCCCCCCCACCTTGGCACCTCTCTGCGGTAGGTAATATCTGGTTCTCCGTATCAGCCGTGGTTCACATCCAAGATTTAGATAAAAGCAATATGGGTGATCTGCGATTAATAAACAAGCCTTGGATCCAGGGCTTTTGATGGACTGGGAAATGCTGTATCCTGGATAAGGTTATGTATTATCTTCCTTCCCATTTTTTGTTTGTGAATATCAGTGTTTGTTTGTTTGTATAGAAGAACCGCTGATGGCACTATTTCTAACTTTTCAGGATCAAAAATTCGCACAACTCATATTACTCGTACTCCCTCGCAATTCTTGGTTATCCGATCCCGTTCTTTCGGATGTTTTTCTATGACATACATCGCATTTAAGGGCGACAATGTCATCAACCATGTGTTAGTGCTTCATATATTGCGATAGGTTAGGTGAAGGTTTTGCCTACGCTTGGCAAGGTAAACTTGAACCACTGGCAGCCAGGGGCGGCTCTGCCCAGGTGTGATCGACAGTACGCAATGTGTGCTCACAAAATATTGAATCTGTCCCGATAAAATAGAGATACAATTATTTATTACAAAGTTCCATCGGAATTCACTATTGATTAATCTTGTAATTATCAATTAATTACGTTCAGATGTGATTAAGTGTTATCGAGTGATTATGTTATTGGGCATGTTTGTGCTACCTTGTAAACAGCGGTCTTATTGAAATCATAAGGGTGCGACGACATGGTGTCTCTTGTGATATGGCGGGGACCTGAGAGAATGCACAACAGAGAGAGAGAGATAGAGAGAGAGAGAGAAGGGGGAAAGAGAGAGAGAGAGAGAGAGAGAGAGAGAGAGGAGGGGGGTTACTGAATTATAGCGAACAGATGTATACATATCTATGGTAAAGTTAGTAATATACATATAGCGCGGACAGAATGAGGGAGAGGGGGTGGGGAGGAGGGGGGAGGGGGAGAAAGGGGAGGGAGGAGGGAGAGCTAGGGGGTGGGGAGAGGAGGCGGGGAAGGTGGGAGGGAGAGGGAGCAGGGAGACAGAGACAGAGACAATGACGGTGATACATGGTGGTGGAGAATGTTGAAGAGGTTTAATTCTTGTAGAGAGTGGCACGCAGATACTACCTTGTACATGGAGCTGACAATATTCTGGGGGCGAGAGGGAGTGCATTAAAGGGGGAGGGGGTAAGTGGTGGACCGGGATGACGGAAGACGTAGGGGGTTGGGGGGTGGTGAATCATTGCAAAAAGATGCATGCAATTGTTAAACAAGTGGCTATATTAAAACTCCGTGTGATGATGCTTACTATGTGATAATGTCGTCAACCCTGATCGACTTTGTTCAGTGTTTACGCATACTGATGATACTGGTGTTCCAAATAAGGATCCAGTGAAAGCAGGGTCCAGGATATCAGTATGGATTTGTAAAAAAAAATCTCTTGAAACATACAACTCATAGGGTTACATGTCACACCCGTTCCCTTTTTAATACTGTGTACGTTATTAGCATATTGCAGTGAAAATGATGCATCAATGAGTAGCTGATTTCATATAGAGATTGAAAGCGAAATGATAGAAGTCGAACAATCATTTACTATGAGTGCACACCTGTGGCTTAAGTCTGTTGATTTTTGACGTCATGTATTGAACTCGCGACCACGCATGCATGCACGCGCGCACACGCTCTATTAACCGCGCACACTCAACCACGCCACTGAAGTATATGGGTCCAATATACTTCCATGGTCACGTTAACCGAAGATTATCCCCACGCTTCCAAAACGAAAATGTGTGATTCAACTTGTTGAAAGGTGCCTGGTGGCTAACTTTTATACATGTACAGCGGATAGATCCTAAATAACAAGAATTGTAAACTCAACTAATGTATATGTCAAGCCACAATTTCTTTAAAAGTAGACAAATAGAGAGTAGACATATCACACTTCACAAAATAAATCAAGCTAGTCCTTGGATTTAAAAACCATTATCAAGGTCAATCATTGTACAATTGCACTTTGCAAACAGAAATGCCTTATTTTTTATTATCTATTAAAGGTCTTCTTCACTTACATGACAAAATCTCCCGGTATTTCATTTTTAAGTGAACAAGTCGAACATAAACCGCATCCACACACACCTAAATATGTAGGAGACACGAATGTTAAGTGCCGTTGTCTCACGAAATAAAAAGTTGTTTTTTTACTCTGATATATCTGATTATTCCACCCACCAGAACAAAAATTATTTGTTAGGATAACCGGTACGGTATTTAAACCAAGAATCCATATACATCTACCTCACTTTAAGCCGACCAATCCTCATCGTCACTAATGAGCAAAATCCCTTTATATATTTTTCAGTTATTTCATATAAATCCAACGTGCAAGATAATCACCATCTTCATTAATATGTAATCTCAACCAACACCAACTGAAAAACTGATATGTGCCAATGCGGCAAACGTGGCGGTTTTTAACGTCATCTGGACTTGAATAATTGAAATTGCTGTTCTTTCATTGCTGAGCTGTGATGAGCTGGCAATACAGATCGGAGAAAAGACGCCTGGACAACCGCATCTTTGAGAAGAGGTCAGTATACATATTAAAAATATTCTTAAAATCTGTAGAGGTGTACATGCGTTTAGGCTTAAATACTGAATGTTGAAGTTTCGATTTTATGTCGCATTTTAGCGTAGTTGCCAAAGTTTTTCTTTTCAATATTCCCTTGTATGATTTTCTTTAAGAATGTTAATTTTTTGTCTCTAATCAGGTATTCAGTATTATTCCATTGTTGTAATTATCCAATCCTGGAGCATTTCCTTAATTTCTGCTAAATTTAGATAAAAGGTTATATTCAGATAGAATGAACATATTTATCTTCCTTAAAGTCTGTCCGTCGAAAAAATGGTATTTTAATGACATTATCGGAATAAACCTCGGTGATTTTGGAATTCTGCACATCACATTTGGAGAGGTTTATAGAGAGCGCAGTTGATTTATCATAATACGCGTGACAAAGAACAAAACTCGCAGTTGGCTTAGTCATTACGGGTGTTTGATCAGTTTAATTACAGCATCTGTTAGCGAAAGTTTCGCAGACGACAGGAGGGCCGTTATTGGGAGTCTTTGAACAACGGATTACGGGCCTCTCTCAATCTGCCTCATAAAATGCATTTCTGCCTTTAATTTGAAAAATTATTACATTTGATACATTGCAAAATAATGCAAATATTCTGGAGATCTACCAGCCCACACGAAATGTAGCACACAAGTGATTGCGCCCATTCCCGCTCATGGAATTCTTCATGGCTTAAACTTGTTGAAAATGTCTTCTGCATGTTCTCGGCTTTTATTCAACTGTGGAAAGTAATAAGCAGATTTTTACATGTTGACGTAATGCTGAAAATCACTGACGACCAGTTTTAAAAGTTTGAAATTATCGTTGCGAAAAAGCGACCTATTGTGTATCACGTGATCAATTAACCTTGTTTGCCAGTTTAGCATATAAGATTTATACATCACTTTATTACTTATAAAAAATTATCATAATAAACTGATAACAAAATCTCCCCTAAGAATTTTTTCCTCAAGAATATATTTCTACCGTTTTCTCTGCTATTAATGTTGTACATTAAATGAGTTTACCAACTTTTAAAAGACCGCGAGGCTACAATTATTTTTTAATTTCACTTTGATTTTAAAGTTCATTTTCATATATAGAAAAACTCTACAAAGCTGTTAACTCTACGCACCCTTTACGCTCAGTACATGTGTCATGGAGCAACACGCAATGAGCACTATGAAATCGACAAGCCTCAAATTTAAAATTGAATGAATTTTGAATAACACCAATATATATATATATATATATATATATATATATATATATATATATATATATATATATATATATATATAATTTCTACTTGTGTTTTAGCACCACTTCTGGAGGGTCAATGCAAACCACAATAAGCAGACACCAGCGCATGATGGATTACAAAGAAAAGCTCCGATTAAAGGGCAAAATGTTAGTTCGTTCCATCACCTTCATGTCACGTGGACAGCGGCGCATTATAGCCCTCCTAGGTCTCGTGGCCGTCGTCATGGTGTGCGGACTTCTTATCATCACTTCCGGTACCGCGCAAGCTGACGTCACTGTGACGGAAGCACCAGTTGACACATTTGACTATGACGGATTTGAGAGAAAAGTGCGGCAGCTCTTAGACATCTATAAAGTGAACAGTGACCCGGTTATGAAAGTACGTTTTGTTCAGAATCCCATTACAATGGTGTACGAACTTGTCGGCAAGCCGTTCATTTGGTTATTTTGGGAGGGTCCTCTGCGGCCTGCCTATATCGACTTGTGTATTCTTAGCATAATTTGCCACAATGAGAAAGATTTCCACATCAAAGTCTTCAACTCGACCCAGTTTGCACAGAGCGTGGATTACCTGCAACCCATGTACCATTCCCTTAACCCCGCCCACAAATCAGATTACTTCCGGGCGGCGATTCTTTCTAACTATGGCGGGATGTATTTTGATGTGGATACCATCAGTTTTAAGAGCATGAGGGAATACCTAGACTTGCTGGGCAGTAATGACATAGTGGGTTCTAGACGCCCATCAGGAGAATTCCATGTCGGGAATATGGGCCCATTTCGCATGCAGACGGAGTTTACCAAGAACTGGATTATGAAAATTCACCAAACTCGATTTAATACGGCACACAAAGCTCTGGCGTCTGGGGCCGACCCTTTTAAAGGCACGGAACTGGGCACAGAAACTGCCCAGCCTGTTTTTGAGGAACAACTAGGACTTGGGTTACGGTTCCATAACATTGAAGGCTCCGAGGCTTGGTTTCAGTTTAGTACCGCAGATCTCATGAGCGACCAACGAGATTTCGCGAAGGAAATGAACGAGACCCATCTGATCGTACTGCAAAACAAAGACTACTTAGAGGGATTCCGTAGAATGGACTTAAGCGCGGTCTTGCGTTCTAAATTAGGTGTAGCTCAACTTTTAAGACGTAGTTTACAAAAATGTGCGGATGATATTGGACTCGTATAGTTATTGTAACAACGCGACATTTTTAAATAAGAATTGACAATTTAGAAAGCGATAACAAAAAAATATTATCTTTAAAGCTAAAACTGTAATGCGAAACAATTTTCTCATATAACTAATGCCACATCATTGTCCAGAGCTTTTTTGTAAAAAGTTCTTCGAGTGTACACGATAATTTTTCATGGATTCAAGGCATACAATATGTCGTAGACTATAGAGGTTTTCTCATAAAGGGGTTAGAAAATAATTTAGCGACAGTATGCATGTGTAGATAATCGGTTAGTTGAAACTATGTTGTTTCAAATTAACACTTACATATAATGTTTTACATTAAATGGAATATGAAGGAAAAATAATAAAACTGTATTATTATTATTATTATTATTATTATTATTATTATTGTCAATAGAGACAACGAAAACAAGTGCACCGCAAACAGAATATGAGCTCCAAAGGCATTGTGTTAAGCACGTAAAAAGACACAGTAAATACCCAAATAGGGGTAGTTGGCGGACCAAGGTCGAGAAATGAGAATATCTGAATTAATCCGTATCACATTGCTGTCCCAAGAATGACAGTCACACCCCCATTCAAAGTTTCAGTCACAGAACGCATCCAGAGATTTTTGACGATTCAAAAAAGAACGGATTTAATTTCATAGACATGGTTGTACCAAACATAACTTCATGTTGTATATGTACTGGTGTAAATCTACTGGTGTCATCCGTGCATACATATTTGTAGTATTATTTTTACAACAGGAAACGGCTGTTTATACACGATATATGCAAAAAAATGTGTTTTGGAGGGCAAAAAGTGCCATTTGGTACGGTTTAGAACTATAATTCAGCTAGGCAATTCTAATTTCAAGAGGGGAAAATTAGCCTACAGGATAAGGTACTCCGGCAACCATAGATGTGTACAGGTTAGGATTAACTAGCGTGGCGTAGGTTGGTTTGAAAATCTAGGACGGGGCTCATTTGTACGAATTAATTGGAACCGTTCTTTTCACTGCCGATGACTTTCTTGTACATGACACCCAAGCCATTTTTATCCAGATTGACTAGTTCTAGTACAGTTACATGGCTTCAGTCACACACACACACATAAACAAACACACACGCACATGTACACTAACACACGACATAAGAAATACGTCTGGTGTCAATATATATGTATGCTTTAGTCTTTTTTATTGTGCTGTCAAAAACTTGATTTTTAGTGCAAATTCCAATTCGAGACTCCCCTTCCAAATTTTTCCTTCAGTAAAAATATCACTTCGAACCGGGCCGACGTGTTACATATGTATATGAATATTTTATTGGCACACAACAGATAAGACTAATATTGGAAAAACCAGAGCTGTCGACTGCCATGTTTTATTCAGAGATTGTACGTGTTCATGCCGCCATATTTGCTGACAGGTGTGCCAGATGGGACGTTTTTCGTGTAAGATTAATATTACTAGCACTGTAAATGTACCACAAAATAATCTTCGACCCCGTTAAACTGACGCAAATATACTTGGCTTTAAGTATATCATACGCTTTCATGAATGAAAAAAAAAAGATTACTAACCGATTTTCTTGTGTAAATATTTCAAAAGCGTTAACATTAACTCGACTTAAAATTCAGAAGGACATAAAGCGGCATATTATCAATACATATAGTTATCTAATTACATGCAATTTTTACATGGCCTATACAGTACGCATGAAGCGTATTACTATACCTACCTCTGTGGAGCCATGAAGTGAACCTGTAGTAGATCAACATACATCTGGATTCACTTTGTTCTTATCAACTGAATTCACAATCCCTGAAACGTCCAGAAAATTAGTAAGCTCGATGTTTTTTAAAGAAAAGGTTGTTAAGTGATATTTTTCTCAAACTTAGGGACAATTTCTGGGATCCCCAGAGAAAAAATTAAAATACATATACTACATGTGTTTTAATCTTGCTGTTGAATTTTGTTGCAGACCAATAGTACGTGGATGTTCATTATCCCTCTTTTTCAAATTTCGAATACATTGATTTTAGTTCATCTTGCGATTTCTCAAAACTTAACAGATGTCTTTTGGGGGGCATATAGGAGCCAAAGGGACCGCCTGTACGTCTGATTTTCACGTTAATTAAGTATCTCTCCAGAAACATTCATCACATTTTGATGACACAGTGTGTAAACACGTTAAGATACGAGGACCACATCTATAATGTAACGAGAAATCTTATTAATAAGGTCGATATTTGCCGACATGAAATTGAAACGCCAGCACGTGCGTTATGAAATGATTCCATGTGCCACTCCATAAAACACTGACTACCGCATGTTTTTAGAGGACTTAAAGTCACCCACAGAGGGCCAACATACCTTCATCGTTACGTCGCGGGGATCGGTATTAATATCGTAATCTCTTAATCGCTTTAAGCTGTCCGTAATTAATTGATAATAGTATTGTTAATTTCGCGGGTGGAAATGTTGATGATTAATTGTCTGTATTGCAGCGGGGAGACTGGTGTGTTATTTGTGATGCGAGACGCGGGGCGCCTTGCAATCAGCTGTCCAAAAATGTGTCACTGTTCTTACCTTCCATACATTTATTGTCTCTAAACAAGCTTATAGGATTCTACAATCTGTTAGGATTCGTTTTTGATGACCTAAGGTAGTCGCTACTTCAGTCAGCCACACTTTTGAAAGTTCACATGAAACAAAATATTCAATTAGCCAGAGGATTAAGCTCAGTTCTCGAATGTTAAAATCGGATTTTAAGGCTTGTTGCTTGTTGGGGTATTTTCTTTTTTTCACAAAAGAAATATTGCTGTCTCTTTGACAGGGCCTACATATACATTGTATATTGAATTCTACACATCCCCAGGGCAAGATGAAATATCACTATAACGGGTACATATATTTAATCAACTGTAGCAAGGAGAACAATCACATTTATATACCATGTTTAATCCTATAATGTTAACATATTTATTGTTAAATAATATTGTAAGAGAAACGTAAAAATTCAGCTTAACGCGGGTGTCAATGTATTATACCAGTATTTACGGAAAGTTCTCGCAAACATTTTAAAGCCTGACATATTTATTGATCGCACCATGATTAGTCAAATGATTCGCGTCAGTCTAAGAGACACTAAATGACAAGCGTCTAAATGCTTGGTATCTCAAATTCAATTACACTCATAGCACTGTAAGCGTTTTTCATGGAAGCTCAAATTTCTGATACATTACTGTCCATCTTAAGCAACATTTTCTGGCAAGACACGTAAACGGCACGTAAATTGGCTTAACTATACGCGAGATATTGACTCCAGAAACTGTCAACCAATCACTAAAAATGCTTTGCTCCTGACTCAGAAAACTATAAACAAGCCAAAAAAATTGTCAACATCACCAACGGGTCTGGTTGATTTTAATCATACCACGTAGGTTATGGAGCAGATAAATGAGACCTAAACAACACATATCGATTTACCTTCAAACTCTTCAGCGCTGCGTCCCCCACTGAGGGACAATATTGCCATTAAATTTCACTTGATAAAAATATAATAGGGACTCCGGAATCCATTTTTATCTCCTTAAACAAATCAAAGTATCCTGAATAGGCCCAGCTGTCACTCTGTGTGTTCGATACATATGAATTATAGCAGGAGGAATTTTCTTGAAGGTTCTTTGGTTTATGTACTTTTAGAACGCGATGGGACTGGTTAAGATGCACGATGAATAAATGAATTAATAAATAGATAAACAGATTGATGAAAATCGCCCATTGACATTTTAGTGTGCACCAGAAGGTCTTTGGGAATACATTAGTCACACTATTTATAATTTATAATTCTCCTTTCATTTTACTTCCCGAATCGTGGGGGACCAGAGGTGCGTTTTACTAAAAAAAAATTAGAAAAAGAACAGTTAAAATATGATATTACATAATATAATAAGTTTTTGTCCGGCGAGCCTAGTGAGAGTTTGAGTACAGTGTGTGTGTATGTGTGTGTGTGTGTGTGTGTGTGTGTGTGCCCCTGTCTCTCTCTCTCTCTCTCACTCTCTCTCTCTCTCTCTCTCTTTCTTTTTCATTCATTAAACCAGTAGAATTGGACAAGATATCCTTTAAACAAGAGGTATAAACTGTCCATATGGGACCGGGAATGTCCTGTAATGTTCACTGACGTAAAACGTTTTTATACGGAGACGTCCCACAGGTAATGGACACTGTTGCTCAGTCAAACCCCGTGTCTTGGAGATAGCATTTTAGTTAGCCTGAGCTCATACCGGTAACGATAAAAAACGTCGTACTGGTGATCTATGTACGGGATGGACGGGGTACGGGGGTAATGACTGGTGCTTACTTAACATTAAACAATTCACGTAAACATTAAGACTGATTGGCAGTGATTTAAATAAAATCAGTGACCCTTCCTACCCGGGAGACGTCAGCCAGGTAGTTGAGGAGCAACCCGGAGCACGACTACAGCGTCCCATTATTATTAATAAATACTTAACTCGGTGATTACGACGAAACCCCGTTTAATCTTAATTGTTTCTTAATCAGAAATGTAAGCACAATTTGGGTCATCGCAGGAGCCGATTTTAATCTAAACGTTGCATTTGATCGGCCCTTTCAGCACGTAAACAAAAGCCAGAGGATTAAGCTCTTTCTTATTCTAGAGACGGAGTCATTCTAATGATTAACTTGTTCCTAAACGAATTAAAATGATTGCGTTATCAGGCCCGTGGAAAAAGAGGAGAGCCGCTTTTAATTGAGATATTATCGAGGTTTGAAGTTGGAGGCCCGCTCGAAAAAGGACGAGGAATGTGAAGTATGGTAATTCAGCGCACGTGCATGTTTCGGTTCTGACGCAAACCTTTAAAAAAGAGCTTGGATTTTTTGGTTCATTCTGGTATTTCAATTTCTTTAATTCATATTAATATTTACTCTCCGTGTAATATTCCGATTATTTTTATTTCAAATGGAAAGAAAGTTCGGATTTCCACCTTGATTTGACAGATCCAAAGCTCATATGTCACTGGAATGCGAGTATCATCATTCTGCGAGGCTCTGCTCAATCGGGAAACAAACAAGATCAAACACAGCGTAATCCCACCTCAGAGAATCTCCCCTAACTTGTATCACCGTCCGCGCTAAATATTACTCTCTCTGTAATCCCCCGCACCTGCAGGCCTTCGGAATGTCATTTATAACAGCGCTAAGGCTGAAGACTTCAGTTTAAGAAATATAATGTCATTTTAATCTCAGTATACGGAGTTCAACAGCAAATCATGCCGAGTGTAAACGATAGCAGTAATCCAACAATTGTTTGAATGGATTTATAGGCATAATGCGCCGATAATCGCTGTATAATAAATCTAATCAAGGTGTGTGATCAACTTGCCACTTGACGATGTTAACACAGGTGAGAGACGCGATACGCTTTATCAGGGGCCGGGGCCCCGATACAAACACCGGCAGGTCCAACTGGGCATAATACGAACGCATCAACCACTATCCGTGATCAGGGCGTAGTGATAAGATGAAGTGGCCCTGAAAAGGGCATTACGTTTTGGTATACGTTTACATGAAACATGAGGAGAAATAATGAAGTGGACAGCTCGTCAAATGAGCAAAGATCACACGTTCCTGCTTACATGAATTGCAGGGAGGGGATTAATGACGGTCTCTATGGATTAAATGTGGCAAATTGCTGCTGCAAGTTTTTCACACGGGCACGTCCGTCGTAATGCCTTTGTATATAAGGTGTTACTTTAAGACTTGTTTGTTTCAATTAATGCTGGTCAGCAACGCCACGATTAATGATGTGCGTCTGATGCTTTTACCTCCAGTGCATTTTCACCAGGGGCATTGTAAAAAGTTATCACTGAATTAATTTGCGCAACATTTTAACAGAAAATTATTGGGATATAATTGGTCAAAATTAATATCGATAACATTAACATCTTAAAGAGTTATCTTTTACTGTTATTTTACATTTGGGCTTAATTGATTAGTAAAAGTTTATATTTAGGACGTAGCGATCAGTGTCAGAAGCGTCCCATCTTCAAGACATTCTCTCTTTGTTTACAGCGGGTTTGAAATGACGGAGTAAAACGTGACGTTTCAGAGACCGAATTCCGAGAATTCATCAACAGCCAGTGTAACTGACAGGAGACCTTATCGTACGTTCTGGCGGGTAATTACGATTTTGCAATTGCCCAAATTAAGTCGAAAATGAAGCTAATCTTCCAACTGGCTTTTCTTCAGGGAGTAGACGAGAGCGACCCGTCGCTATTGATTCCACTGAGCTGCCTAAACTGCCGCGAATGGCATCTCGTGCCAAGGGACCACTTCGACTTCTTCCCCTGATTGCTAGGCCCATTAATTCCACACATTACACTTTCCCTTGTCTCAGATATTATCCACTGCCAGGGCCCTGAATTAAGAACCTTTGGGCCCTTTTCTGAATCCCCACCGAGGCGAATTTTTTACTCGGAGTCAGGGTTATGAGACATTGAACGCGGCTGAAGGCGATGCATGATAAAAGACGGTTAGTATAAGCTGCATTGATTCACCGATCCCTAATAGGGAAGAAATAGAAAATTGAATTAATGAATTGCGCTGCATATCATCCGCAAATTTCCGTATAATTCTTCCCTAATGAAAAATTATGTTGACACTCCGAGATGAAATGGACGCGATACATCTGCGACCGCTTCTCCGGGAGCACTGGCTTCGCTTGGGAGCTTCAGTACGTTTCACGGTAACACGGTAACATCGGGTACCTCGATTTCGGTTTCACATGGTTGAAAAGACAGAAGCTTTAAACTCGCAGAACTGACAAGGACATAAGTGGCATCTGAACCCCTAAATACTTGTATATTTCTGGCTGCACGTCATTTTATAGAGGCTGCTGTGTCGATAAATTCCATGGTCTTTAAATATTTTTTGTCCGTAACTGTTTTGAAAACGTGATATTTGAAGAAAAGTTATTTTTGTCTTTTTTGATTTCCACATTATCAAGACGAAACGTTCTTCAATTCGGTTATCACACGTCAACATATTAGTCGATTAACAATCTCAGATTCTACAAATACCAAATCGATGACGATGTTATTCGGACACCACGGTTTATTTGTAAAAAGTGATTTTTACAAAAGGAAAGTCTTGTATTTACACCCCTTTCACAAAATGAAAAAAAAAACGAAAAAGAAAAATAGAAGAATTCAGCCTTCTTAGTACAAACTCCTGAAGCAAGCGCTGTGTTCAGAGTTTCATGTATTTTTCCGCTAATCGGATAATAGACAAGTGCTTTATTTTAGTAAGAGATGGCCAGTTTTAAACTTAGTGCAAATGCACATGCATCCAAACTGCAACCACCAGAAAAAACAGCAGCTATCTGATGGTCGAGTGCTGCCTCCGCTAGGGGGTGAAAAGTTATGCTCTTATTAAAGTATGTTCAACGTGCAGCTACCGGAGCAACGGAGAGCGCCCACTTTGAAATCAGGTTGTTGTTCACCGAGTTATCGTAAACGAGGCGGTGATCGGTGATTAATTCGCTCCCACCTGGCGCTGTGGCGGGGACGATATGACATCCCTCTTCAGCCATACGCACCTCACCGAGATAAGACGTGAATTATGTGATGTCACGTGGTGATTGGGGTCAAAGGTCAAATGCTTATACTCTGGTGTCGAGTTATTAATACCACGGATAAAATGTTATGATCGTTTTGTTAAACTTTTGCTTGTGAACAACCAACTGCTAAATATTTACAAAGTAATTAGAAGAACAGTCCTACCTAGGCCTTGTTAGTGTTGATGATTATTTCCATCCACAGTTAAAACTATTATTTGATCTTGGACATAATAACGAATTTATTATTATGTCAAAGATTTGATGAAGTTCTTGTAGCAATGTACATGTAGCTGCAAATTGAATGCCATATGTGAGAGAGGCATGGGCTAAAATTGTTGAGATAAAATTATTGAAAATCCAACATGATTTCTTAAAGACATTTCAGCTCTGCTTCTTGTCCCTTGTATATCATGACCTGTAATTTGTAGGAATTTTTATTAATTCATTTCCTTGTTTTTCACCTCCGTATTACAAACATTTAACTTCGGAAGCTACATGTAAAACCAAAGGAAACACACTGAGATTTGTATTTTTCATACAAATTATTATTATTTCAGCAACACCAACTTTCACAATCAGCAGATTAGAAAAACACAGCAGTTAACTACATCACGGATTCAAATTAGTCAAGACCAATAGATTTCTAGGAAGAACTGTCACTGTTGTGTCACAAAATTTTAAAAAGAAAAAATTCCACAAGTCTAAAATGACAACAGTGACCCGAACAAGTAGAGGGAAGAAAAATACATTATCCGTTGAGATACTCTGACGCACGTAATGCTTTCTTTTTGACAAATAATTGGTAATATGAACAAAAAATTAGACTGGCATTACGTGATATGGAATTTGGTATATCCTTGAGCGCATCTCTGAATACATTCACAACGTCATGGACCGATTTGAGAGCTTTTGGTAGTACACCTATATTTTACCCTGCAAAAATATTTTCAAACCAACATTTTCTAATCACAAACTTAACTTGAAGCAGCCATGTGCCGCAAGCATCTATGTAATGCACTGTGTATTTAGATCGCATAAGTTCCCTGAAAGTTACCTCTCCTTGACACATATGACGTTAAAAATTGTTGCCATGGCGATTATCCAAGGAAGTCATAACCCGTTGTGAGTAAAGAAATTAAAGAATTCTGATCTCGTGTAAGAAACATGACGCAAAATATGAAACGTTTACATTGAACACAGACTAACGTGACTCACTCGTGAACTAGTGTAACTATATTACAAATTTACAACCTCACTTTTGTCAGATACTTTACGATTAGAATGTCATGGAACAGATGCAACATGCACCAACAGTTATACCTGTGTGTTGCCTCAAAAAGGGAGACAACTTGTCGTGTCTTTCTCATGTCGGAACACAAATCACGACTCCAAATTTTTACTAACCAATACCCGTTCAAATTATTCAGTCTTGAAGATGGTTATAATAGTTGAATTCATACCTTGAAACTGAACCGCAGAATTCATTACATTATGCCTTTCAAGTTACGTAAAAACAGATGTGGACTTAGTATGATATTACATATGTACGTGTAAATGGTACATGCACGTATGACGTCACATATTATAATTTATCAAATGAAAATGTTATTATGACGTCACAATATTTTATCGAATAAATATAAAACTAACACGTCACATACTTCACGTTATCGAATAAATATGTAACTATGGCGTCATAAAATCCACTTTCTCCAATAAATATGTAACTATGACCTCGCATATTTTACTTTATCCAATAAATAACAAGCCAATGTATATTTACATGTTTGAATATCGTCAATGAGATCCCTTTCCTTTTTCACCTGCAGTGTTTGTCTCCATTCCTGGAGTCTGAAGGTGTTCCGGTTTTCTTACCACTCCCCCCACTAACTTCCTCGTGTGGAATTCTAATCGTCTTGTTATTCGAGCTATTTGATTTGGAGCCAACGTGGTCCGCTAGTTTTGTGACTTCTCTGTCTCCTTTGTCGGTTTTGTTCAATTCTTGCTGCTTTGTTTTTGTTTCCACGACTGCTTTCTTGGAGCGTTTCCATTTCATTCGCCGATTTTGGAACCAAATTTTAACCTGAAAAAAAATTATATATTTTAGTCATTGCTTGCTGAAAGAGACACGCTTCTGTTGAAAAGTTGTGTTGGTTGTAAAACTTGATCTTATTTCGTTCTAAAATATTCTATAAAAGTACATGCGAATTTTTCTTGAAAAAAAAAGCCGGAAAAGACATAGTGATGCGCAACAAAATAAATCTCGCAAATAGGTGAAATATAAGCGGAAAGCATTCTGCACACAGAAAACTTCTGGAAAAGTTTGTATTTCTGTTTTTTTTTTTTTCTTTCCTCTTGTCTGTGAAAGGACTATTTGACATCTTTTAGACAAATGAGCATGTTTTAGGCCACTCTTTACCAAAGGTAAAAAACTGCTAGAACAACCTGGTAGAGGGTAATTCAAATCCAGGCTCTGGGCTTAAATAACTTTAGAATACTCTTTTATCACTGAATGCTCTTGTTATACTTGCTGGGTTATGGTCAATATAAAATGTACATCTATGGAAATAAATAAATAAATAAATAAATAAATAAATAAATAAAGATGTTTACCAAGTTCTCGAATGGGACGCATAACTTCGAGACTTGAGGAGCAGCCATTACTCGCGCTCAGTATGTCTAACTTTTGTTGTTTTAAAAAAGTTGTGCCAATCGTTTATCTACCCCTACTAAATATACCCTCCAATAATAACAGGCGGGTAACTGAGAGAAGATCATGGAATCACGTCCCACTGTGTCACTCATACAAAGCCGGGATCAGCGGTAATTGCGCGCACCTGTGTTATCTGTGAAGCTAGGGGGAGAACAGTGTTGACAGAGCTCAGGGGATCTGCCGGTGTGATACGCTAGTTTACCTTGAAATGAGGCGACAATCATTGCACAGATCCGGGATAAACTTTGATGAGGGCGGCATAGCTTGGAATCCCTTGTCGAACCTTTGTTGACTGTTTCTCACAGTACATCGCTTGTTTGCCAACGGGGATTCCTTCACGCTTTTTTATATGGGAGAATAAACTTTTTCATGGGTGCTTATTTGTTTCATTTTTTTCATGTTTCTCATTTCGCACTGAGCCTATATGCTATTGTACTGAGATCATATACCTATCTTTTTCACATTTTTTTTTTTTTTTGTGCAACTGCCACATGTCTTACGGGAAAATGTTTACTGTGCACCTGCAGGTAGAGTAGTGAACTAATCACAGCACGGGTGGTTACATAGTCGGTGATCTACACTACTGTTTATATACAGAGTATAAAAACTGCATGTCGCAGCGTGTTAATAATTCTGAAATCCCGTCATTCCATTTCTACATTTAAAAAAAAAAAAAAAAACTGAAGTACTAACTGCTGTGAAGAACGCCCCCGCATCGCCAAAAATAGACAAGACAAGATTGAAGAATGATAATAAAAAACATACCTGAGTCTCCGTGAGACAGAGAGACGTCGCAACCTCAAATCGCTTTGGTCTAGAAAGATATTTGTTCATTTTAAACTGTCGTTCTAATTCTAATAGTTGTTGACTGGTGAACGCTGTTCGTGGTCGCCGAGTTTTGCCAAGCAGGCTCGTCGGGGAGTTTCCTGAAATGCATTAAAATACACCAGTTGAACGCATGACGCTTTGTTAATGCTGAAGCGGTTCATTTTTCGTTGTATATTGCAACTTTTACCTGAGTTTTGAAACCCGACTCAGTAAACTTCTTCAGTCTCAAATTTTCAGTTGCCCGCTTGTCGCAAATAATAATGGAAGATTGAAAACGAAGAAGTTAGCTTGCGGTGGACCCGAATCTCTGGTTGTGAAATTAAATATATTAAATTTTGAATAATTTGAAATAAACAGTGAATAGTGAACATGATGAGTGGTTAAATAAAATAGAATTACAGCTTTGAATAACGTTCTGTGTTTCTGAAAATGGAAATACAAATATCAAACAATTAAGGAAAATAAACGGAAAAACTATTACATTTGCTGTGAAAATGGGAAGCGAGATAAGGTCATGTTTCTCTTTCAGTGCATCACGTTCGATCCATTTCACCATTCCCTTTGCTTTACAACGATAACTCGCATATTGACGAAGACCCGAAGTCATAGAGCAGCCCGATAATAAGGCGGTAACACAGATGTCTTCCATACTAGAACATCATAATCTAATTCCTGATTTTTCATGTCTGCAACCCTAGGATATGGAGAGGCCTCTTGACGCTCAATCTGACACTTAACGACTTGTAATTCCCACTGCATTATTCGTGCGAACAAATTAAATTAGCATAGAACTGTGGGAAGGGGGAACATCTTTTTCTATTTAATCATCACTTAAATTTCTAATAAGATCGGATCAAAACAAGGGCTCGGTTCCGTTAATCAGTTAAGTCGAGCTCGAGGGACCAGGAAAAGTCAAGAGAGACCGGACTCTTATTAATTAGAATAAGTTTTATTCTGCCTTTCTACTATACATACAGGGTGGCCCTGGTCAAGCGCTCGTCAGCCCTGAATCTGACTCGTAAGTCACTCATTATGGTTATCCATGTCCCAGAGCCTAATGTTTCACAATGTGGCGGCGCGTGAGGATGATTAGTTGACAATTGCCTATTTTAAGCTCTGTAACAAATCAATACACACTTCTAATGGAAGTAATAGAGGAGTTAATCATGGCCTACTCGGAGAATGGCGCGCACGCTCTCCTTAGATTTACTTGCGCATTTTCATTGCTGCCAAGTTGCTTAATTAATTGTTGGTAATTCCACAGCGTTCTCTGCTATGGCCTGTCTTAGATTTTTTTTTAGAAAACAGCAATTAAGCTGATTGGCTTCGTTATCCCGTAGTTAAGAAGGATAAATGCGAATTTCAAAAACGCAGAGAGATTTGATCAAACTACATATTGTGAATTAATAAAGATGAATGGCAGAGAACGCGCAGGCATGCCCCGTAGAGTACTCCGTTTTCCTAATTGGGCACTGTTTGTTTCGGATTAAGTAGCAGTAGAGGTTTTAATACTTGAAGAGAAACTGGCAAGGTGTTCCTTTTCACCGCCCACGACCTCACTCCCCCCCCCCTCTCTCTCTCTTTCTCCCATCTTGATAATTTCTAGACCAACGTTATGTTTCATTTATGTTTAAATAATGCCTCCAGTTTCAAAATTGCCAAGCCTATTTTCTATTTTGGCGGTGTAAGTAATGCTCCGCACACCACGCAATTTGTTTCTAACGGCGTATATACTGTAACGGTAAATAAAAGTAAATATTCGTTGTTTGATTTTTATCTAAAAATATTTATAGTTGTATATATTTGTGTAACAGATACACCAAAAAAATTAATAATTTCCTCCTCTAAGCATGACAACACTATAAACTAACACAAAAAGGACAATCGTGTTCATACAATGTAATCTTGTTAACATGAAAACATGCAACAGTGCTAGCGAAAAAATAATCGAATGAAATGGAATAATTTTTTAAAAATGAAAATGAAAATGAATGCAATTAAAAAATGAAAGGCAACAAGATGGGGAAAAAGGAAAATAGTTGGCCCATTTGAGGCGGCTAAAAAGTTATCCAAAATGTAGTATGTGTACTGGAAAGCCTAACTGTCGGTACACAATATGTGCGAAGACGTGCTACATAAAGAGACATTTAAATATGCTCCCATAAAATCAGATTCCATGTTATTACCGCCATTTTCTTAAAATTTATTTTTCTGGCGCGTGGAATTTAAAGCAAATTCATAATTTTGCCCAATAGACTTCTATGTATATCTATGACTCAATGGCACAAAGAGCAAATTATTCCAGTGAATAACGGAACCAATTACTGACATAGATATCAAAGTGAGCCACACTTAATCCAATAAAACCACTTCTTCTTTTAATTACCACATTAAGAAGTATGGCAAGTGTAGTGAATGAAACCTGGCCTTCTGTCCTACACATGGTCTATGCAATGAATATTTGCTTACGTTTTGTTCCTCCGCAAACCGCGGAAGTTTTTAATGAGCCTATATAGCTACGCTCTATTTTATACTCATATTTTACCACTCTTAAGAGGAGCGCATAAAAATTATCTTAGATTAAGTGGTAATTAACAACGTAGTATCCGGGAAATTAAGAGGGTGGAAGCGTTTGTGTCAACTAAAACGTTGAGGTCCCCTTCAAGGCGTGAGAAGAACACTAGTTGTGTAGAGAGGGCGATGTTTGTTCTGGGTTGTCGACTTTTTAGCCTAAGAGGTTTATTGGCACTGATTCCGTGCGCAGAAACGGTAAAGGTTTTATTAATGTGGTGGAAATTGAGTCCTTAATTTTTCCTTATTGAACTGAGGTCAAAATCGTTGTAAATTGGAAGGACGATGATTGTTATGTGTTTGTTATTAAAAATATTGTAAGTTATAACTGATCCTTCGATCTGAAATAAACATTCAAATAACCGATGAGTATGAATTTGATCCACAAAATGCACCGACGAAGTTTTGAACACTGATTTATTATCCAAAAACAAATTTAAGTATTTCATAAAAGTGTATTATTTTTGGAGTTAATGATCTCCGTGAAGTGCATCTCTCTTCGGCACTTAACTGGACATTACTTCTTACTTGAAGCGCTAATCATTTGCAATTTCTGAAGCCAGATATCAAAACTAATTCACATTTGATTTAATAATCGTTTAAAATTATATCAATAACGATAGGCAATGCTGTCATCGTGTCCACAACTGCATATAACTAGTAAACAATTTATGCGAAGAAAAATACTAATTTAGCAACTAAAACAAAATTAACAAAGTCACAATTTTGGGAGAAAATCCATACCTACCACGAAGTAATATGGAATGTCTTCTTATGACCGACGACTGATATGAATATATTTGATTATATTTACCTAGAGTCAATGTTGATATCTAATTTTGTATACTTTAGATAGTCAACGCATCTTCTATCTATAATTAAATGTCGTATCTTCCTCTGGTTAACATTTGAGTTCAAAACTACCGCGCGTATCATGTTTAGTTAAAATTCCAGTTTATCAGCGAGCATCCTTTAAATTATTTTACGTCAATCAAAAATTATGACACCGTTGATTTTGAGTTCTGAAAACAACGTATGACATTGTATACCTATCTTTGAGCAATGTTCCAGAAAACGGGAAATGATTTGCAAATGATAGAGAAATTTGTTTAATAAACGTAAACAAATAGAACACTGTGTCCATAAGAAGGACTGTCTTAAGAAAAAAAATTCACTGTTCAAGCATAAAACTATCAAAACGATCAAAAGCCATTTTTGAAAAACGAGCTCTAAATATTTTAACATTCTTGGTTATAAAATAAACTGGATAAAGTGACATGGTCTTATGCTAGGGCGGGGGACATTTCAGTACATACTTTATGGGGTGCTTCATCTTATCAATCCACCAGCAATAAATATTTCAGGGAGCGTATTAACGATAATCTAGAATTTGGCAAAGTGATATTGTGGCAGTTGGTTTTGCCATGGGACAGGAACATCCCTGATAAAAGATATTTGTTTTACATATAAAAAAACAATTAAATACACTGTATTTCAAAAACAGTACATAAAATTTAAAGAATCAACAAAACATAGATTCTCGTTGAGCCAATCAGGAAATGAGAAAAATTCTAACAGGAAAATCTAGCAAAACGTGACTCAATCTGTTCAGGAAATTTAATGGTCAACGTTTTTACCAAAAGGCATGTACTTAAGTGTACGTATCTTATTCTTTACATTAAAAATATTTCTTTTATTCATATTTGTTTTTCCATCTATAGAATTCAATATAACCCAGCATCAACAATAAAGATAAAAACACAACAAGCGTGATTGCCCATAGAAGCCAATGTGTTCATCTTATGAGGCCAAATTTGGCAGAATTATGATCCATTAGAGAATTAACGAGGCAGTGATGACTTTATACACATGTACATTGTACAATACAAACACTTGGTTGTAAATAGTTTTAGTTAGATACTTAAGTTACAGTCCAGCAAATAACAGCACTTGGAAAAGTCGTAAAATACTTATCTATGTTGGCTTAGGGTCTCAATACACGTGCATGGCCCTTAAACGTGACCGCAGAGGACGCGTTTAACGGCGAGAAAAGAAATTAATTTTAACGATAAAGTCTGCAGTACTACAAAACTGACAAAATAATTTTCTGTTTACTGCCTGATTTCAATTTTAATACCATTTGTTAGTCATATGAGTCATATTAGTCATATTTGCCTTAGGACCTTTTGGCGCTAGTATTACTAATGCTCCTATTGTTTAATCTTTTGTCTGACTGGATTATAAGAAAATGAAAAATCGAGACCATTAACCATCGAAGCAACTATAGCAAAAATGAAGAAAATCTTCAAACAATGAATTAGGATAGGAGTCAAATATGAATACAGTAATGTTGGCGCCGTTTGAAGAAAAAATTCTTTATATTATACTGAATATTTCCGTTACCTTTGGTAAGTAGCCTACTTACGCCTGGAAATTTTATTTAATTATTCCTAGAATTTTCATGGCAGCTAATTACATGTATTACACCCTTGTCGGGTAACATCCTTCCACGAAAATGAGGAGGGGGTAATGTCAACCTAAACCACGTTGTAAATCTCCTGGTTGTGAGGACAGAATAGTGAGCGTTCATTTCCAACCAAAGAGACTAAATCAGAACTCATTCTGATCAAAATACCAGTGAAAACTTTTAATCCACTTTTTAGCAATGATTAAATCGCCTTTTCACAATGAAAAAAAAAATATTTGCAAGGCCTATTGAATTTTTTCGAAACGAAACTTAACTACAAAATCAAGGGACGGGAAATAACAGTAACATCATACTTGCGTATTGTAATTCTTGATAATCAATCTAAAGTAAGAGATTTTTTTGATATTACAAATAATTATTGTTCTTTCCTTAAGAAAAGAAATCGAAGATCATTACCTTTGGAATTGGTAATGGAAAATATTTAAAAAAAATTAAAAGCAGAATGCGTTCACAAAAAAGTGTTTGGAGACGCACGAGTTTCTTTTTCACCAAAAGATTACCAACAGGAAAAGGAATTCAAGAGACTTGGATTTTTACACATCCTAAGTGAAAAATAAGTTAACCTGAATATTCGAAACTTTAAACCAAGAAGAAAAGGTTTTTATATTATTTACAGTGAAATATGGGTGAATAAGAAAAATATAAGAAACCACGGAATACATTTCTACTACATAAGAAGTGAAAACCATTATTATCTTACTTCGACGACACCCAGTAAAATCACAACACACCTTTCTCTTGAACCAAAACGCCAGGAAAATAATACCAGACGTAAAAAAAAAATCACCAGAAAATAGCTCTCAAAGTGAGCCAAAATGAAAACCGATCACAAGACTTCTTAAAATGAAATTGAACCGTGACATCCCCCAACTCACCGTTATAATCTGTGACCCGAGGCATAAAGAGCCCGTTCTGGGCCGCCCTCGCCCACCATTCCAACTGGAGATTCTGAGACGCCTGCGCCATCTTGTACAGCTGTTCCACCGGGGTATGGAACGCACTGCCGTTGAGTGAAACGCCTCCCGATGACGAAGGGGGGTGGCCGCTGGGCAAACCCTGGGGTCCCGGGGGAGATTGGCCGTTAAAGGGGAACATATGGTGGCCCAGGTAGAACCCGGCCGGTAGAAAGCCCGGGGAGCCCTGCTGGGGGATTCCTAAGTTGGGGTTTAGAGGGAGAAGTCCTGGACGAGGAATGAACCCTGACTGAGGTGAGCAGCTCTCCTTGTCCGAGTCTGAGTCCATGCCCACTCCACCCCCTCGTGACATTGTTTCCCTCGGGTTCTGCGGTGTCGACCCCCGGGAGCTGGAGGCGTTGGATCTTGGGCTTGTCCCCCCGTGACCAGTCAAGTGGTCTGGACTGTCCATGTCGTAGGTTGTAACGTCCACTTCCACTTCCTTAGGACTGCGTCCGGCCAGTCCTGAGTGCCCCTTGTCGGACTTCGCTAACAAAGCGTCTATACTAAACGATTTGGGTTTTTCCATCATATTGTAGGTGTCGGTAGGTAACACTTTCTGCTTTATATCGCACTTGTTTTTGAAGTTTTTATGTTTATGAACGAGTAGAACTTTTGTCGTTTTCCTCGCACTGAAGTTTGGTTATTCGCCTTGCTGTCTTCATGAGCAGGTGGAAAAAGCATAGAAATTGTCCCATAATACGAGAAAATTAATTTTAAATGGATTATACTGAAATTATCCTAGGCATTCTCCTTTCAAACGACGAAGGCTATCTTATTCCCGTCACACAAATCACAGTGCCCGCACAGAAATGCAATGATTTTACCTGCTACCGCACGCTGCGCAGTGCGCAAAAAATATGCACAAGTTTGCCCTCAAAATAACTTCAGTATAACTTTGTATAGGAACACCATGTCACATTTCAACTGTCCCTCAAAGTGTTGACCAAATAATGCCTTTATCTCACTTGCCCTATTTATTGGCGGCCATCATAGCGCGAGAAATTTCTGAATGAATCAAACGATTTGATTGGCTTAACGCTAATTGGTATCTATATCCAAAGATAGAACGAAGGTGTTGATTTGTGGAGTGTGTTGAATACCTTTTCTGCGTGCCATATCATGAAACTACTCGGTTAGCTTCTGGGGTGGGTTTTATCGCGTATTAATTCGGGATGAATTTACAAAGCAGGCTTTTATTAATCTGTTTGTATAAACTGTTGGTCCGCTTGTCTTAGCGATAGTTACATGTTACAACCTATAGCCAGGACTCGCACCTCAAAGATTTCTCTCGGCGGCAAAATAACACAGAGATTTCTTAGTCGGCTTTTAAAAATATATTTTTCACTTTTTTAAACTTTCAATTGAGGATTTGAAAAATTGGTCGAGCAGTGAATGGTCTTCTTTCGCAATTTTATATCTCCAACCTTGCAAAAGTGTTTTGAAGTACCAAAAGCCTGTTTCCTTCGCCTGCCATTCCTACACGGCCAAATTGCTCTATTTGATTTAAGCGATGAAAATACTTAACGTGCTTAAAATCTCAATGCAATAACATATTTGTCAAGTTTTGTATTTCTTCGCATACTATTTTTTTCTTCAGAGGAAGTTACATTTCAACTGTTAAAGTAAATGTAGTTTCATGTTTGTTGTTTGCCTACTACAGTAGTCTGGCCATGGTTTATAATTTGTCATATTCGTTTTCTTCAATCACCTCATATAAATAACACATAATTCAACCATGTCTCTCAATATCCCTTTGTCAAAATTAAAAACAGACTGCAGTTACTGTTCGCTTTAAAGCGTATATTCTAAGTTTGATGCGACATTTAGATATTAACCAAAGTATACACTGAAATAAGATTAAGATTCAAACAGCAGACTAACAGGCAAACAAGATAATCTCAAAAATATTGTTCATATTCAATGGTGTCGATGTACTATTGCTTGAATAAAAAGAAATGATCTGTAAGCGTGCTTCCTTAATGCATGTTTTAGAGTATCGTCGCCGTAATTGTAATTGTGAATTATACCCTGTAATCTATATATCAAAAATTACGCAAAGATGACGAATTTTACTTCAGAATTTCTATGCAGGGACAAGGTAAGATTATGATACAAATACACCAAGAGCAAATGGGGGCATTTCCAAAGTCATTCAGTTAGGAATTGATACATAGATGATATAATCCCATTTTGGCGTAGGAGTTATTTATTCTGGCGCAGATATGTATGAAGAAAATATAAATAATATAGTCTCCTTCTGAGTATGACGAATCCACACGTTTCGGTCACATGAAACAAAGGGTAAATACTTCTACAAATAATTAATAATATGTGCACATCTCGTATCAAGCTTAATTTTCTGATAAGGAGATAACCAAACGACAAGCTCACAATAGACGATATAGGTTATGTAATGAGTCGTGTTAACAATACCTAACACTAACCAAATATGGCACATAGTACCTGTATTATTTGATTACTTGAACGTAGCAGCATAGTATTGAGCCTGTTGTTTAAATCTAAAGTGCATTGTCCAATAAATCTTATCTTTTTATATTCGTATACATGTGTATATAATTGTCATTATCATTCATCGTCACAGTATTATCTGCAATGTTTACTGTTATAAATGAAGTGATAATTCACATTTAAGAGAAAAAATCGTTTAAAGGGCTACCTTTCTTGTAGTTATGGCTTTTATTCATTGTTTAAAGAATATTTTGAACGCGTAATGTTTAATTTTTGGTTGAATTTCACCTTTTAATTTGTGAAGTTTATAAGTCACCTAGTAAAATTTAGAAATCATTTTCGGAGAAAAAACATGTTATTTAAGTACAAGTTTATGGAAATTGAAGTGTTTCAAAAAATCAAAACAAGTAAAAAAAAACGACAAAAAAGCTATCCTCTAAATGCCATACATATGAACACATGAATAATAAAATGAATACACGAAACTGAATTAAATATGAACAACGTTTTATATTTCCGAAACAACGAAAGAAAATTCTCAAAAAAGGCTATCGAATGCCCCAGAAAAAAATTACCAATTTTAGGAGAAATGTATTTTTGAAACTATCTAGTACAACGACCCCATTCCCACAGATTTTAGATCGATCTATCCCTGTGGGGAGTCTCACTAGATTATTGTCAGCATAGCCGGTTTAAGCGTCTGACCCGCCAACTAGAAGCCGTAAGGGGGTAATTAATTGTCGTGCGCGCTCGGCTGACTGCAATTTAGCGTGCACCCCCAGGGAGTTAGGTCTATCCGGATGGATCGATCTAAATCTCTGGGAATGCACTCCAAGTCCCTCCTGAAGAGCACCCCACAACACGATTAAGTCCGCATTCAGTGCCGCGTCAGGGGGAGAAGAGATAGCGAATAATTATAAAAGGATTACTTCATAATTCCAGTATTATAATGGACTTGTGTTACCTTATCGTAATCCAGTCTCCTTTCTGAAGATACGGAGATAATAAAGTCATTAAATTAGTGGCAGGTGGAAGAGGGACTTACGACGATAAACCTTGGCTAGGGGCAATTGTTTAATTCATTGAACCCGCTATAAGAGGGGGATTGTTCAATTAAGGATTTTAAGGAGCCGATCCATGGTGCTCATGTTTAATGTTGTCAATGAAGTAATGAATTTAATTCGTAGACAATTACATTGTTTCGGTATCTCTATTAAAGGCGACCTCGTGAGTTAAAACAATGGAAATTAGTCGTGGTGAAGTTTTATAGTATGGTGCTGAAAGCGTATTGATGATTTTTGATCAGTTTTAATAGCAGCCTTATTTTCTCCTGTTTGTCATAGTTGACTGTTTTCTTTATTTCGATCTTCAAATATGCAGCGTGTATGTACATGTAATATCCTCACTGGGAGATGCAGTTGTATTTTTTTATTTATCAAACAATTTTCTAAATTTAGTGAAAAATTACAAAAAATTAAACCAGTAAAATCGATTATACATGTACATAAGATTGTTAAAATTATTGCAACTCACAAAACAACTGAAAACATCATCCAAAGCTCAAGTTTTCATGTCCTGGGTGTGAGTGTTAGCAATCTCTGTCAATCGCGTCCTTCTTGTGTTCCCTTAATTAATTCTGATTTTGAGTCAAATACATTAACTTCGTGTCATGTGGAGCATTCTTCGGGGTATAAGGACGGGAACACGAATTGACCAATTTAAATAAAATGAGATGAACTTAATGAGCTGGCGCACAAAAACTGAGCGTTCCAAAATCTAATAAAAGTGGGCAATATGGTGAGTACATATCGGTTATTACTGCAGCCAAATCACCCTAATATCAAACAATTTATATAATTGATGAGGTGCTAAAACGGCTAAATCTAGTATACATGACAAAATCGCACACAGCCTTTTTGTCAACCAGTGTTTAATTATATCTAATATGTAGGTAGCGATGGAGATGCCATGCCCCTGTCAATAGCAGGGAATGCCGACACGGAGAGAGTGCCAGATTGCACGTATTTTGATTGTAATGTTAGCTTTCTTGTGATAATAACAGTGGACTGTTATCTCTTTTGTTCGCTGGATACTCTGAGGCCCTCGATGTGCTTCTGTCTTATCTCCGAGTAGGACATTTTCGTAAAGTAATTAGATTGTTGTTTTTAATATCCCTGTTGAAGAAGATATCTTGTTATCATTATTGCACCAAATAATGTGCTTTATCAAGTCATCAATGTCTCTCAAAGTGCATTCCTTTGGATTTTTTATCACCATTTTCCTTTTCGTTTTTTTGTGTTAACCGGGTAACTAGTAGCCGGTATTTCAGAAAATAACGTTCTGCCATTGTTTTCTGCTGTTCACAGAATGCGAGAACTTGGAGAAGACGACGGCGTGGACAGTTGCAAGCAATTGTGCCGTCGTCGTGTCACATCTAACGCATTTAAGGCCACAGTCAAAGGAACATGACGGACTGCATACCATTTCGATTTTATTTATTGAAACTTCGAGTGATGCAAACTGACGTAAATCATTTTTTTCATTTTCAAAATCTTTGTGACCTGCACATGCATGACTATATATTGTATACAGTATGCCACTGGTGAAATCCCATTTTAGACAGTTTATAAAACCACCTAGGCTGAGTCTCAGTTTTTGTATAATGCATTGTTAACACCATCACAAACCTAGAATGTTTGCAGCCAGCTACGTTTCTAAGTACAGCTTTAAGGCATTTAACGCGTAAACAAATATAACTGAATTTCTTTATGTTTAAAACAGTAAAATCTATGTTGCGTAATTTTCGCAATCAATCTTGAAACTAAAATTTTATTTTACTCACAACTTTCACGGGTATATCATTATAATATGATGAAATGATATATTGAATTTAAACACATTTGACAACACCAAAACAATTTGATGGGTTGGAAATAATTTATTACTTTTAAACTAAATGTTTAATGTACAATCAATTAACACTACAAATGTAATGATATGATTATAAAACACACACACACACAGAGAGAGAGAAAGAGAGAGAGAGAGAGACAGAGAGAGAGGGTTCATTTCATGGTAAAGCATATCCAGGTGTCATTATATGGGCCTCCTCTCCATACATTGCCGATTGAATGCCAATAACCAATATCAACCCTGCTATACGCCCCCTCCCCCGGGTTTAATGGTGTTCTTAACAGTTCACCACTAGCAGGCACACTGACTTCAATAAAGCTTTGTATTTCGTTCAAAAATCGGTCTCTCAGGGCTCGGGAAGCTGATGGGTTCGATAGGCATCCCGCAGAAGCGCCACTCAAGCTATATTTTCATTACGCAGCGACAAACCGTTGACCGTGTCGAAGAGAAATATAGACCTAATTACATGCTTTGTTAGCAGATGCCCACTTTGAAAATGTTACCTGAAAACATCAATCTATCTCGCGCCATTCGCGGCTGCTCGAATTCTGCCGCTCGCTAATGGTAAGTGGGTCCCGGTGCTGAGTTAAAT